GTTCAGATGCTGTTTTGAGTATGAGCATTATTCTGAATCACTGGAACCTTCGTATTTGATGTAGTTTCTGCCGTAAAATGCTGGCTGAATTGGTTTTAGCTGTTAATCAAGTCAGTTTTGGTTAATTGACTAGTTAAACAGATTTTGATACAGTAGTTGTATTGGGCTAGGACAGTAAATCACAGTGGTTTTCAGGGGCAATTTGGGAATGAAACAATAGGAATAATATGTTAGTATTAGTGTGTTATTAGTGGAGTGTTAATGTCTTTAATTTAATGTGATAATGGGGAACAAAAGGAGTGGGGGCTGAAAATTAGGGAAAAGGTTTCCTTAATGGGATTTAAAGTAAAAAGAGCAGATTTTTAGTGGGAAATTCTGGTTTTTGAAAAGAAGAAGGGTCGGGCAAATTGTATAAAGAGGGAGGGAGACTGAAAGAGAAGGGGGAAAAATACTGGAAAAGGAGAGGAAACAAATTCAAAAAAAAATCAGAACTTTTACATTAAGAGTTAGTGTTGAGTTTGAACTTTTGCACTAAGAGTTGTCAGGCTGCTTTTCTTAAGTATTTGAAAATCAGAAACTATTGTTTCCTTGCATCTGTCTGTGTTTCATTTTGGTACTGCTGGGTTTTCAGTTTCGTTTGAGCTGGGTTTACTGGTTGTTGTTGTACTGCTTGGTGCTGATTGTCGCTGTTGTTAGCTACTGGTCTACTGATCTTCACCTTCTTCTTCTGTTTCTACTATCAGGTACACTTTCGAATCATTGTGATGCGGCTGTTGTAGTGAAAAGAAATACTCAAGTAGTCAAGTATTTAATTTGTATTTGCATGTTTAATAGTCAAATGATAGGCAGATGTATAATCTACCTTTGTAATTCAAATTAAGAATATGGACGATGGAATTTATATTCGGCTAGAATTATTTGCTTTTGATTATAAACTGTAATTTGTAAACTATTAATAGTTTTCCAGTGTATGTTAGTTAGAATTCTATTTCATTTCGAATTAAGTATATTGAGTTGTTGGAATTAAACAAGTTTAGGTAATCCTAATTGGAGCCGGCATCGGTCTGAAATAACAAGTTAATCGTGAACATGCTGATAAACGTAGTTAAGGCATAAATTTGGACTAATTATGTGAATTAGGTATTAAGGTTTGGTTCAGACAGCTCGTTTGTTTAAAAAGGAGATTTGTTTGGTTTGAAGGGGTAAGTGTTTGAATAGGTTTAGTTCTGCCAGTTTTAGGCAGAAATAAAAAGGCCATTAATTTTATAGAATCCGTAGGCTTGACATATTTGAAGCGCGGTTCAATGTAGAAAGGATAAGAACCTTAATCCGATAGGTTATCCAAGTTAACGAGTTAGCTTCAACAAACTTTTGTAAGCACCAGTAATTAAGGTGGGTTTAGTTTCAAATAGTTGAAAAGCATTTAGTCCCAATGAATCAATTCGTCTAACAATGCGAGTTTAATCTAGCTATAGGTTAATTGGTTTCTTTTGAATATGTTATTTGTAGATGTCGTATTTTATTTATAATTTCAATTTTAGTAATCTTCTCTTCCAATAACATTTGTATTAATCTAGCAATTAATATGTTACGTTTTTTTTAGCATGTAATTAACTAGGATTATTTTCTTTTATTTTAGAGACCAACCTAAATAGAAATGTAGTCACTTTAGGACCGTTCTTCTAAAAAGAATGAGATGAGTCTCGCTGAATAAAAATATAAAAAGTGCGGGGCCTTCGGTAAATATGTATTTTAAAAATTGCTTAGACTTCGGAATGGACTGTGTAGCAAATTTTTACGGCCCTACCCAAAGTAATGGATACGCTAGTCGCTGTAGGCGCGCCTTTAATAATTTAATTTTCTTTAAACTGGGGTGCACATTTATGTGACCCAAATCCAAATCTCAACAGAGTCGAAATATGTCAATAACCACGGGTACATTGATGTGACGTGGTTCGAGATATATTTTCACATTGTTGCAATTCTCTATAAAAATAATAATAATAATAAAAGCGGCTAAAGGATAAAATTTGCATATAAGTTTATAATATGTATTATATCAGATAGTCAAGCTGAATATAACAGTTGAGCGACTGTGTTAGAACCACGGAACTCGGGAATGCCTAACACCTTCTCCCGGGTTAACAGAATTCCTTATCCGGATTTCTGGTTCGCGGACTGTAATACAGAGTCATTCTTTTCCTTGATTCGGGATTAAAATCGGTGACTTGGAACACCCTAAATCTCCCAAGTGGCGACTCTGAAATAAACAAACAAATCCCATTTCGATTGTCCTTTAATTGGAAAAAACTCCTTCACCCTTCGCGGGGACGGAAAAAGGAGGTGTGACAGGCCAGTCTCAGGATCCGGTTGCCACTTCCCACACTACTAAGGAGATGATCCAGATGCTCAGCAGCCTAGTTGTCCCTCAACCGGTTGATGATGAGATACCAGTTTAAGATCAAGGATCTGGGAAGACTATATTATTTCCATGGCCTTAAAGTTTTGTATACAGCTGATGGTGTGATCATTTCACAAAGAAATTTTGCCCAGGACATGCTAAAGGAATATGACTGCCTCTCCTACATTAGTCTTTCTAGTTCTCTTGATCCCAATGAGAAGTTGAGGGCCAAAGAGGGAAAACCATTGTCAGATCCTCCATACCACAGAAAACTTGTAGGAAAATTAAACTTCCTTATAACACCAGATTAGACATAGCCTTCAGTGTATAATATCTCAGTCAATTCATGCAGGATCCCAGAGAACCACATTTGAAAGCAGCCTTTTACTTGCTTAGGTATTTGAAGAGTGATCCCACTCTAGAAATTTTGCTGTCCAATGACTCTGACTGTAGTCCGAAGGGATACTGTGACTCAAATTGGGAAGCTTGCCCAGATTTTAGGAGATCAGTTACTGCATATATAGTCCTACTCAGAACAACCCAATTTGTTGGAAGTCCAAGAAACAAGAAATAATTTTCTTGTCATGTGCAGAAGCAGAATACAGGTCCTTGAGGAATGTTGCAGGGGAACTGACTTGGTTGTGAAGACTCTTTGATGAGCTTACTATCTCTTATCCTAAGCCAGTCTCAGTTTTTTGTGACAACTAATGTGCTCTGTACATAGCCAAAAATCCTGTTTTTCATGAAAGAACTAAACATATCGAAGTTGATTGCCATTTTGTGAGAGACAAACTTCACGAGGGCCACATTTCTTTACATCACATTGCCAGTGGTGCTCAACTAGCAGATGTCCTTACCAAAGCCCTAACTGGTGTCAAACATTCTTCTTTTTTAAGCAAGTTGGGCATGAAACCTTCACCTCAATCTTGAGGGGAGTATTGAGCTGTATTTATGTTTTATGCTTCTATGTCTAGCTTTTACTATCTTAACGTTTATCTTTACATGTTGTACAGTTAGTTACAGTAAGTTAGTGGCTTAACTATCAATTAGCAGTCTGTTAGAGTTAGTTTCTTTTGTCTTGTTTTCGTGTATATATACACTGTTAGATAGCAACACCAAAACACAGTTCATTCTCTCATTTCTCGGAACCAGACTTCTCCTTCTCTCTTTCATGCGAAGCTTCTAGAGCTCTTCGATGGAGCTCAATCAAGGAACAAATTACTCATCCATGGTGTAAATTGACAGAGGGCATATCAAATCATATCTTGTTCGCTTCAATTGTTTCTATTTATCTGTCCTTTGTTATCATCCTCACCATCCTCAAAAAATTTAAACTTTTGATGGATGACACTAAACTTTAAAATTTAATTTCAGCTGCTGAACAAATACTTTTCTAAGTCCATAGTTCTTAACTAGTTCTTTATCAACATCTCTGATTAGTATATATCAAATTTAAGGCCATCGGAAGTCGGAACAAGCTCTTAGAAGTTTATTAGGTTCTTCAAAGGATTTATCTTTCTAATATTTACTGTCTTTTCGTTTATGTTTGCTGCAGTAGAGGTTATTCCACATTCTTTCTCTATCCCCTTTTGATTGTTACGATGGAACAAGTTTTTTTACTTGATTGGATGTTATCACATTTAGATGATTAGTTTCAGATATTATTTGTCAATATTGACTGTAAGTGTAAGTGAAGATTAACACAATTGCTCCAGACTAAGTCTAATTCAAGGAAAAGGTTAAAGGCACCAGTCTACACCACCAGATTCATCCTTTTGTGCGAGTAAAATAGTTATTAAAGATTAATCATGTCATCAAACAACATTTATAATTAACATGGCAGGTTTTCTTGGTTGAATACTTACTAGTACTTAATTATCAATAATTTTACTTTTGTCGGAGAGAGCTTTCGCCTAATCTTCAGAATTAGTCCACTTATTTTGAGCAGTATCTTTTGCAAAAATCAAATTTTAGATACGTATTTGGCATAGTAGAGCTTGGAGTAAAATTATACATTATTTTTATTTCTAATATTACTTGATTAACAATTAATTTTACGCTCATATAGGTTGTTGCATAATTTTTATATAAGCACCATCTCACTTAGTATAAAACTAAAAAAGAATCAAATACTTATGATGTTATCAGTGTTACTGCTGTAGAATAACACACCAAAGACTCGCTGGTTATCTGATGACATTTCTAAAATTTAACAATCAACTGGGATTTCTGAAATTGAATTTTTGCAATATTCTCGCAACTTTAGACCTCGAAAATTAAATTATTCACCCGGATATTGATCATGAAATCATTAGAGATCAAAGAAAAATATGTACCGTAAAGCCAGAATCATATCCATTTATTATAAAAATATATACATTACGGATAAAAGGCAGAGTACTGCAAAAGGCAAACCACCAAATTCTTTCACGACAATCTATGACTTAGCTGTCGGATAGCTTAGTGGCCTCTTTAGAAGGAATAAAGGTGATCTGATCATCCTGAAGGAAATGACAAATAGGGGTAGTTCCAGGCTTAACTTTGAGCAGTACAAAAGGCAATCCTTTGGGGTTCCAAAAAGATGTATCTTTGTGGCACACTAATACTGCTTTAACTTTTGTTCCATCAGCACAACCATGGATACCATAAATATCTTGGTACGTCCTCCAACATGGCAATTATAAACTGCAAATGCATAACTAAGTTTGTGGCATACCAAGTTATCTCCATCAGTTATCTCTTGAACTTCTTCAATGGTGTACTTTTGCAACATTTGAGTTTCCCCTTCAACTTCTGTTGTAACTGCATGAACATTATTTGTTCCTAGCATGTTTAAGCTGATATCCACCATAGACTCCAAAGAAGAAGTACACATTTTCTTCTCTCCATTCATCGATGGCTCTTCACAATGTCTGATAGTTTCCTCAATAGTTTGAGCATCCTTTGAGCTACTATCTATTAAAAAATAATTTAGAATTTCTGGAACTTTTTCCAATAAGAAGGGAATCGATCCACAAATTGGCGAGACAAAAAAGGTGCTTCATTTTTATTTTTTAGAGATGGAAAATTGATTACTTTTCCTTTCTCCAATTTCTTTTCTAAGAAGTAAGGTTTGGTAAAGGTAATTATCTTTAACATCACTCTTGGCACTGTTTCCTTCAGTTACTTGTTGGATATTATTCACGGTGGTAGCATGATGCATGTAACGGCTTTCCCTTTTGAGATGACGAACCTCATCCTCTGCAGCAGCACGACGCAAAGCATGAACTCCATTGATGATGTCCATCTCATTGAAGAAATATTAGGCATGTGCCTAACAAAAGTTTTTTTGGTTTGGTAATCAACCTTGTTGACCTGGTTTGGTTAGGTAGCCAACCTTGTTGAATTAGTTTGGTTTGGCAGCCAACCTTGTTGAATTTCTTTGGTTTGATAGCCAACTTTGTTGAATTGTGAAAAGTGTGTGTATATTGTCAAATATTGTAGACTTTAGAGGGTGAAGCTTTGGCTATAAAAGGAGAGCTTCAACTCTCATTTCTACACACCAACAAAGAGAGAAAGAAAGAGTGAGGTTTCACAGACAAGGTATAAGAAAATAGTCTGTGAGGAAAATAGAGAGTGAGCGATATTGTAGTGAGGTGGGAATATCAAAAGAGGGTTATTTCTTTTGAGTGTTGTAGTGGTCTTTGGAGTATTTATCTCCGACCTACAAAGTGTAAAATTCCTTACTATAG